CTTATGATGACTAGAACACTTAAGTTTGACTCGATGATCTTGGGGTTCTTTTCCAACCTGATTCTATGATTGTGTCACTTTATTCTATGTTATTTTTTTCCTTTCAAACATTTGTCTTGATCAGAGCATCTTCCATGTGGTCTGTTTTTCCTACATTAAACATGGTAAACAATATAGTAACTTTTCCTTAATAAGAGAGTTGCCCAAGTCAGACAAAGTCTTCTTCAGACCTTCTGTATGAGCATCACATTGCTGTTAACAGTTTTCCAGCAACAAAGGATATATTCTTGTTTAGTCAAGTAATAAGTCATAAGAATTTTGTTTCCAGATGGCTTATGGAAAAGAAACTCAGCGCAATACACATAAGAGAAACAAAGGCTCATTTGTATAAATAAGGTTAATTCACTTGTAATAAATTAATCTCCAGGGATATGATTGAACTGAAAAGGCACTTTCATCATAGAAATTCTTTTTTTCAAGAAGCCAGCAAAGTCATTTGCAGCAGCATCAATGCTGAGCTGACTTTATGTAACCAGGGTATTAATCATAATCAAGAACATTTAAATGAAATGGGTGAATTATAGTTTTCTTTAAACACTTAGTCTGAAGAAAGCAGAATTACCCAATTTTTAAAAAATGTATTCAGTGTTATACCTGGGACTGGGAATTTAGTGAAAGATATTTCTAGATCAGTCTTTGCTGGCTAACAGTTTAAAGGGCATGAATGATATTATATACGTGCTCAGTTTAAATTGAATGAAAGCAGCCCCATGCTGCCTTCATGGAGTTAGGGCAGATGTGCAATATCCAACAAGGAATGTTGTATGGATGGGTAAGATATGAAGGGTGTGTTACAGGACTCAGAGATACATAGCCCATGGCAGTCTTCAATGCTCCTTTCCCTCTTGATAATTTGCCCTTGTTCTAACTTCCACTGCAGTGCGTATTTGGAGTTTTCAGTGTAATATCTGCATTTTAGAATGTTGGTGTTTTTCTTGCGCTTTTTCTTTGCTTGGAAATCCTAGTGCCTCTGTGCTATGGGGGCATGAATTGAATGATGGACAGGGATTAACGCTGCTATGAGGGTTTTTTTTTGTACCACTAAAAGCTACAAAGACTCATGTCAAAGATAAGCATCTGGGTTGTGAAGCACTGAGACTGCCTTGTATCAGCCTACAGGTACTCCCAGTTTCCAGAATACCCATTCAAAACCAGCCCTGCCTAGGAATTATCATAATCATCTGATTTTTAAGAGCTTAGTGATTCTCTGCCTGAAATGAGTGTGAGTAAAGGGAAAAAGCCTGCACTTTTTGTTGTACTGAAGCTACTAACACAATCAGAGTAAGGTTAGCTTACATCTGGGTCAATTCCAATTTCGCTGAATTAGTAGCAGTGATCAAAGGCTGAGCAGATGACACAGCTGTGGCAAGAGGACTGCAATGCCCATTCATGGGAAAGTTCTTCAGATACCAAGGCTGAGACTCAAATTGCACAGCCAGGAATAAGAAAGTTCAAAGTAGTGGTAGCAGCTGAAAAACAGGGCTTATGTGAGCAACTGGTTCTTCTGTAACTATCCACATGCTTTGTGCCTTTAAGCATTAAGTCAACTCCTCTCCTTACTGATGAAAGGTAAAATGCATTGAACACATACTGGGTTAGTCCTGCAATCCTACTGCTTCATGTTTTGTAACAACATTCTACTTGGACTCTGTCACGGGGCAAAGCAAACAGAGAGTTACTGACAGAAGCTATGCCATCATCAAGCCGAGTCCCAGTGGACCATAAACAAGGTCAGAAAGAACAAATTTACAGTCTCCCACATGGCTCATAGGCTGCCAGAAGTCTGGCACTCAGGTCTGCTGAGGCACAGCTAGGCTGCCTTTCAGGGACCCAGCCTAGTGGATCTATTTTCATTCACAGAGATTATCAGATGAGATACGCTCTATTCAGGTAAGTCTTTTTCCTCAGAGCTTCACATAAGCATGTCAGGTCAGAGCTAACAGACCCACAGCAGGTCATTTATCTTGGATGTTCATGGTAGGGGGTCACATACTTCACTGTAAGCTTTATTATCCCCTTCTGCTAACTGTCACTGCAGAAAGTCAAGTGGATTACACTTTCAGTTTGTATAAATGGTCTAGTTCTCTTTCAGGGCCTTAGTTTGGATCCAGCTGTCCCATAGGCTGAAAAAATCTGTGATTGGCAATTGTAGAGGAATATTAAAGAGTATTAATAAAATCACCTACAGATGAATGAGAGACTCCATAAAATACATGTATTTGCCACAGGCAGAACAAATACACAGTCTACAAATGAAAATTCTAGTCGTTTCAGTCTACCAGAATCCTTCTTTTCCTTCTCTGTCATTAAGAATCCTAGTATTATGAAGAGGAACTTTCCTTATAACATAAAGACAAACAGCAGCTACAAGGACAATTAATACAAGGCAGACTAAGACAGTTAGATTTCTTGGAATTAGGATGAAATGCCCCGTACCCCTACAAAAACTTTGCCAAATAGTCCAGTTCCAAAAGAATATCATTAGAACAATGCTTAACATCAGCCAGCTAAGTTCAGTGTCCAGGCTCTGTAGATCTCTATAGTGTGAACTATAGACATTTTTCTGGTTTCAGTGTATGTATAGCACAAGTTCTTCCCTTCCAGAGAGATTTGGGATGATCCCTTTTCCCACCACAGGTCCCTGCCACAACTCAGGCCAACCTGCTGGTCTGGAGCATGAAGCTGTCAATGGGAGGACAACTGTGGTAACGCTCCAGATCATGGTAGATAACTCCCAAACCAGCATTCAAAGGTGCCTCCTTTGATACCTTTTCCAGGAGCAGTCACTCTCCACAGTCCAGTGTGGAAACTCCCAGTGCACCGCTCGTCCTCCCATTCCTTGCCTCTGCTCTCAAAAGTAAAGCCTGGGAGGTAGATGGGGCAGGAAATTGCTCCATGTGTTATTTCCCACAGCCTTTGCTCTGTCCTAGCAACCACGGGATTTTTCTTAACTTCTTTCCTTTTAGTAGAAGGCCAAGAACCTGTTTTTCTGTCACTGCACCCTGATAAAAATCTCACTACTCAGATAAAAAATCTCACCATCCCACCTTCTAGTCAGTTCTGGTGCACAGATTTATCAGAATGGGATCTCATGGGAACTGTTCCCAGCACTTGGTGAGTTTGTATGGCCATCACAGAGCATGCTGCCTCACACCACAGCAAGTTATCAATGATCTCAACTCTACAAAAGCCGCTGCTTTGCACAGAGGTGTGCTCTCTTCCAGTCCACTGCGCGATGACATCTCATCCCAGAAGAAGCAATAGCTCAGGGCTTCCACTGAGTTCTTGCTATGTGGTGCAAATGGGCTCATACACAGTAGCAATCTCCAAGTCTCCCTCAGTCGGAAACACCAAACCCACGCTCCAAGCACTGATGGGCCTCAGTAAAGCACCTTTATGTAGGGTAGACCAAATTTGGGAGAACAGGTCAGAAGGCCAGAGTGATGTTGAGAGGGAGGAGCAGATCCACAACAGCAAGGAAGTGTTTATGTATTTCTTGAAAACAGGTTTTACCCAAATAGGTACATAAAGAGAGAATGTAAAGAATTGAATTTCCATATGAGAAAAGTTGTACTCATTTAACAAACTTTAAAACATATTTTACAGACAACCTCATATGTTAATAAGAATGACTGAGGGTTTTTGTTGATTTCAAAAGATATCTAGAATGATAGCAAGAGATTGGAGTAATGTCTTAAGTGATGGCTTTAAATTGCAATGCTTACTTTGTCAGCCATAGCAATAATCATGCATGACATTTGTCACAGGACAATTCTCTGATAGTTTATGCTATGCCTAATGGCACTGTCTCAAAGTTTTTTGGTGACCTTGCAAACTGCAAAGAGACACATTGAGAGGTGCAGCAGAATAAGTCTATTTTTTCAGAGATTTTTCTCCTTTTTTGGTCAATGATTCTTTAGGAGGTTCTAGGCAAAGAGTTGGAACATGTGAGAAAGAATAGGTTGGTTGAGGATAAACAGCCTAGGCAGCAAAGAGCAATGTAAAGATGAAAGGGCTGTGTAGGGGCCATCTCAGGTGAATACTGGTCATCATCAAGTCCTGGAGAAGACACAGTAGAATTACAAGACTAACCACCTGTAGGGATAAAGGGTTTAGTGAGTAACAAAACTCCTTAGCAGAGAGAATCCACTTTGAAAAATAACAACATACTTTAAAAAAGGCTATCTTTCAAGGAAAATTAGGAAAACAGAATAATACTTCAATTGTGTTTTGAACCTGGCTGCATGTCACGTGCCCACCAAGGCCACTCTACTACTTCCTTCCTCAAGTGGACAGAGGAGAGAAAATAGAATGAAAGTTTCATGAGTTGAGATAAGGACAGGGAGAGATTACTATCAAAGGCAAAACAGACTTGACTTGGGAAAATTACATCAATTTATTAACAATCAAAACCAGAGCAGGACAATGAGAAGTAAAACAAATCTTAAAAACACCTTCCCATCCCTCCTACCCAGGCTCTACTTTCTCCTCCCCAGCAGTGCAGGGAGATGGGGAATGGGAGTTATGGTCAGTTCATCACATTTTGTTTCTCCTGCTGCTCCCTCCTAGGGAGAGGAGTCCTACCCCTTTTCCAGTATAGGGTCCCTCCCACAGGCAATAGTCCTCCACAAACTTCTCCAGGGTGAGTCCTTCCCAAGGGCTACAGTTCTTCATGAACTGCTACAGGATGGGTCCCTTCCAAGGGGTGCAGTCCTTCAGGAACAGGCTGCTCCATTCCAGGTCCCTCACAGGATCACAAGTCCTGCCAGCAAACTTACTCCAGCATGGTTTCCTCTCTCCATGGGTTCTCAGCTCCTGCCAGGAGCCTGCTCCAGTGCGGGCTTCCCATGGGGTCACAGCCTCCTTTGGACACCCATCTCCTACACAGGCTGCAGGTGGATCATTGTATCCCTCCAGGGGTTGCAGGGGCACAGCTGCCCCACCAGGCTGCAGGGCAATTTGTGCTCTGGCACCTGGATCACCTTCTCCCTCTCATTCTGCACTGACCTGGGTGTCTGCTGGGCTGTTTCTTTCACTAATTCTCACTCTGTTCTTCTCTGGCTACAATTACTTTTGCAAAATAACTTTTATTTTCCCCTTCTTAAATATATTATCACACAAGCATTACTATCATCTCTGATGGGCTCAGCATTGGCCAGTGCCAGCTCTGTCCTGGAGCCAGCTGCCATTGGTTCTGTTGGACATGAGGGAAGCTTCTACCAGCTTCTCAAAGAAGCCCCTGTAGCCCCACCCCTACTCCCAAAACCTTGCCATGCAAACCCAATACAATTACTCATCTGGGGAAAGTGTCACATTTAAAACCTTACTTGATGCTGTTTTCTTACAACTTTTTTGCTTATTAATTTGACAAGGAAATTCCTCATTTATTTCTGAATATCCCTCAGTCAGAGAGTAGTTAGTAGCACTCACTAGCCCACATGTGCAATCACCGTGCCCATTATAATGTGTGGCCAATAACAATATGCCAAATAACTCAGCAATTACTTTTTAGTAGGATCAACAATTTTCCCCATGAAAAATGTAGTGCCAGTTTGCTTGTCAGAGATCAAAATAATGAAGGGCCTGTTGAATTTGATGGTATCAGAAGGAAACAGAACTCTGTTCAAGATTATGGCAGTGGCTCCTGCAGCTTCAGTTCCAGCCTCATCAACTTCCAGCAGGGCCTTGTGAATTGCCTGCACGGGAAAGAAGAAAACACTGTGGTTTATATATGGGACAGGAAGAAGGAGGTAAAATAAATTCTCTTCTTATGGAATATTTAGGAGAAGAAAGGAGTGATAAATCCAGTGGATGAAACTTTCTTTTATGGTAAATCTCCAGTGGTCTGAAACAGGAGTGTTTTCTATGTCAGGACTGAATTAGGAGGGCCAAAAATAAACATGGGCAAACTGTAAGTACATTTTCACTAGTGCTGAGTAGAGTGAGATACTAACAGCCCATGTACAAACTAGTTTACTTTCTTAGATGGTTTGGACTTCCAATAGCAACACTCTCTTATTCCAAGGATAATGAAATTTATTTATTTAAATTATTTATTTATGTTATTTAAATACTAAGACAGGAGTAGTATTTGGCATCATCACAATAAATCATAGCTTAAACTGATATATGAAATTCTGCTTCTGCAAACTGGAAGTCTCCTGGAAACTTTGAGAATATTAAAAAATTAGGTACTCATCAACACAAAGATCATAATATGCTCCTCATTTACAGCTTACTTGACACAATATCATATAAAATATTATATTTCAGTGCAAAGAAATAATTTAAAATGTTGTTCAACTTTTCCATGTACTTAATATCCAGTCTTTTAATAGCAATATTAAAGTAATACATAAGCGATCCAGCAGATTCTTTCTGTAGAAAAGTAGAATTACTAAGCAAGTCCCTACGTGTAATTGTGAGTTTTATTTATAACTTCAATAATAAAAGGAGGGGAAGAAAGCCTTTAAAAACCCCAGACACAATTGATCAAAACAACCAACCACCACCCCATCACCAGCACTTACTTCTGAAACCTGGAGATTACGGCTGCCACTAATTCCAGACAGATCAGCATTACTTGAGAACACTTCAGTAATGCCCATATTTTTAAACAGGTTTTTAACATCGTAAGACCCACTAATAGAGAACTTCGGTAAATGCAGATTTAATCTCCTGTTGATCAAAGAAAACAAAAGAGCAGTGAGGCATTCCAGGCCTGTTTCAGGCAGCAGGATGGATAGTATGCTATTCAACGACACTTGAAAGAATTCTTTTGATTGCAGACTTGTTTGATGGTAGCATTTATATTCCTTGAGCAATCTTGGCATCCAAAGAGATGCTCCATCTTCTTGTTCCTACATTCTCCTTTTGATTTTTGGGAAAAGAAACAAATTTCTTCATTGCCACTCATTCATTCCAGTGCCACATACACAGCTAGCAGAGTTTTTGGCTAGAGAGTTACAGAGAATAAGCAGACCAACTGTGGAAAGCCTAAAATAAGGGAAAACGAGGATAAAATCTAACATGATAAAATTCATGGTGAAGCAAATGAATTGTGTTGGCACCACAACAAAAGAAAGAGGAGGTATGGTAGTCAAAAGGCAGCCAAGCAAGTCTTGAGGCAGTTGTTACAATGCTGTGACCCTTTCTATCAGGTCAGAGAGCCTGCAGTTTCTCAGCAATTATGATCTGCTCTGACTCATTTGGGGAGTTGCTTATTTATGAAATCAGGACATTATATCCAGTAGGAGGTGATCTGAACTTAGCGTTTCCTTTTAAAAACAGTGAATCGTCCTCAAATACAGTAATCCATCTATCTAGAGTTACCTGGTCATAAGTTTGTTATCCCATTTACAAAGAGTTTCCTTGGAGAGAGCATCTTCCACTTGCTTCATCTTTCCATCATCAGGCAGAATGAGCAATGCTCGGGCAGTGCCCTGGTAAGGCAGCTCTATCACCTTGCAGGAGAGATCCTGGTCATAGTAAGCATTAAAGATACTGTCACGCTGCATCATGTTGACTCTAACAGATGCATTTGTGTTCACAAAAAAATCATCCTCATAGGTACGCAAAGGATCAAAAGACTTTTCCCAGGCAGCTAATGGGGGAAAAGAGAAGATATTGGACTCAAATGTGATGATCATATGAAATGGCTCATCCAGATTAGACCAACTTAAATGGAGGACAGTGGGGGGCTATTTATGGGAGAATATGATCACTGAATAATTTCAACCTCCTGCATAACATACAATAAAGCAATTTTAGCTGTGCAGTCAGCTCAGCATAGTAAGTGTGAGTAAATCCTATCTTGCTGAAAAACAACAAAAGGCTGATGAGGACCAATTGAGAGTTCTTCTTCTACTGTAGCCATATGTAATGCCTTTTAAGCCATTTAAGTACAATCACTTTAACATTCAGCCACAGGAACTTCTTCTCATGCCTTTCCTTTTAGGCTATACCCCTACCCAAGTTGATGGCACTCAGCCTGGTGAGGAATTCATCAGCAGATTAAAGGGTCTTAACATTTGAGCAAGACTCCAGAGACACAGGCCCTCAAAATACTCTGTCTGAATTTTTCATGCAATGCACCTAGTGAATCTACCATAAAACTGGGGACCTTGTGCAAGAATATCAGTCCACTAAATTTGACTGGCACATACAGTCAGCATAGAGATCTTGGAAACATCTTTAGTCATTATGCTCTCAGACCAGTGAGACTATGTGCAGTGGATCCCTGTTTATGAGAGGTCCACTAAAGTGGGACTTCTCTGTCTATAGCTTTCAAGCACACTGGGTCATAATTAAGCAATCAGTATTTCTCAACAATCAGATACCCTGCTCTTGGCCAGATCTAATCTCTACTTTGAAGGTTTTGCACAGTTTAGCTCTTTCCTAAATAGTCACTCTGGTAAAGAATGATCAAGGGTTCCCTAAAATTTTTATTTTATATCAAAACTATGAATTGGAATATTATGTTAAATATCTTACCTTTAAAATAAATGTAGTTAACTAGAACTAGTACAGTACTTGGATCAAGATGACCAACTAATTCAGGAATTTTCCCCTTAGTTTTCTCCTCTACATATTTATTGATTTGCTTCTTAGCTTCTTCTGGTTCATGGAAATCACTAGAAAAAAATTCTGCATCATAAAATTGTTTGGTATTTTGTAAAAATGACTCCTGTAGTTCATATCCAGTAGCTGTAAAAATGGCATTCCCTATATTTACTGTGATATTAGCATCAGCACAATTCATTACTGATAAAACTTTGTGAAAACTGTTATGTATATCACCTACACGAGCCTCAGTCAGATTGTCAAAGCCCAGTCCTCCAAAAATCTGAGACAGGGTGGTTGACTTAGCACCAACAGCCAGCATGGCAAATGCAGTGGAGATGCTCATGGGAGAAAAGAAAACATTTTCATCAGCTTCTTTTGATATGGCTTGCTTGTAAAATCTAAATACAAAATCTGCATAGTTAGAACCTTGCTTGTCACACTTATGTGTTAATAAATTTTCTGTTCCATCTTGCAGATTAGTATTGTTGACTTCATGGCAAACATCTTCATGGCGACAGTGGGTTACAGCACAAAGAACAGCAAGGAGTAAACACAGGCACAGGAGACACTTCATCTTCCTTTCAAATTATTCTGTCACAAAATAAACAGTCATTAAATGAGCAGATGGTAATGATGTGATTGGTAGTAAGGAATAATAAATAGTTTGTTATCATAAATATTACATAGTGTAACTGTAAATATCTCATATACATATGATATTTAAAGTTCTCATGGGTACCATGTCAAGTTTAATTAATAAATTCAACAAAGTTATAGATTGAAATGTTAGCATAATAAAACCATCATATTTTATTGTAACTGGCCTGAAAAGGCAAGACTTTTCTTCATTGCAATACATTGGCTATGAAAACATAGAGCTAAAGTCCACAGTAATCTCAATTAACAGTGATAATTTTTTCCTATGATCATTGTCTCCCATAGGGTACATCTAAACAAACAAGTCTTCCCCAGTGAGGGAAGACAGGGTGTGAGTTTCAAAGACATCAAATATTCCACAGCACCTGCCCCCAAACAATTTGATAAATGTGAGGAAATGTGAGGCATCTCACTACTCACTGGAAGCGGGGCAAATTCCCTCACTTCCACCAGGGCAGCAGCACAGGGACAGGCAGCTATCACAGACCATCTGGTGCTTGTTAAATTCACACCTCTGTTTACCTCATGGTCCTGTTTACTAACTCATATGGCCAGTCACTGACCACAGCTAGTGGGGGAAGAAAGGTATGAACTTCAAGGCAAAATTCAAGGCAAAAGCCTGGAGCATCCTATGACATGACAGCAGTGCACACAGAAGTGGGCACGAAGACATGTGGGAAGCAGCAGGTTTGCATCAGATAATGAGGTGTATGTTTGGAGTGAAGGAACCTTCCTTTTATGGGGGGGCTGCAACAAGTGTTTGTAATTTGATAAATGGTGTTTCGCCCCTCACCAACAGGTTAATTTGCATGGGATGTGGGAAAGACCTGGGTCCAAGAAGAAGAGGACCACTGATCATATTTGGAAGTCAATGGGCATAGATTAATTTCTTTGGAGATGGCAAGTTCCTTTGTTATGCTTGTTCTCCTGATGCTGATGTGATATCCTACATGTGAGCCCCTGCTCTCTGCAGGAGCTGGAACAAGTCTCTGGTTTACTGAATTCAGTTCCCTGTTGTTCTGGAGGCATCTCATATAAACCCTTTTCAGAACTGTAACAATCTATGAAGAAAAATAAGCTTTTTGCTCTTGTAGCTTCTGCAGGAAAATATTTAGAGAACTTTTCTACTGTTCTGACTCCTCTTTTTGTTTCCAGCCAACACAGCCTATTTGTAGCCTTTTTTTCCAAGAACATATTTTCCAATGTCTTGCCAAGGTAAAGTTGTCTTGGTCCTACATTCATTCCCAGATGTGAAAGATGATTATATATACTATCTAAACAACATTTAGATGGAGTTTCTAAGGGCAGCACAAGTTCAAGGATTTTGTTTTATTTTTTAAATTGATGATCTTTCTTGTTTTTATAGCAAACATATACGCTAGCTGTGTGTTCTCATATTTAATTAGATCTGAGTATGATGAGTGAGCGTGAGAGAAGACAGAGAGGAACAATGAGAGTCCACTGCAGTAGCAAGTGGTGACACTAAATTTGAATTTTCTTAAACCAAAAGATGGAGTATGGCTCTAGATGGGAATCTGATTCAGCTATTTGCATCTCTTTTAAGCAGAACTCTCCCTGTTCTTCACAGCCAAAAAAAAAAAAAAAAAAGAAAACCAAACAACCCTTACATAGTGTGGAAAAATTAAGTAATAATGTAGTACGCAGGGTGTTTCAAAAGTACTTGATGTTTAACATGTTGCAGGATGGTCTTCTCTACATATTTGAGATATTGCACACTCAAGTGAGAAAGAAGATAATTTGTATCTGTCCATGTTTACTTCCTGTTCCAAACAGAGCTTAGCCTGAATTTCAAAGAATTTCTGAAGCAAAGAGTATGGTTTGGGGTTTTTTTCTGCAGCAGGCTTATATTAGGCATGCCTCTATTTTTAGCTTCTACTACACCAGACCAGTTAAAAAACTTTTCTTAGTATCAGAGCTCTCTACAGAAATCTGAAAGAAGTACTTCTACCAGAAGCTGAAAAACACTGAATATTGCAATTGAGTTTTCCTCTCATACTTTTTCCCTTTGGAGATGAAATCACATTAATTTCAATGTTTTGAGGTTAGAAAATTTCACACACAAATATTTTTGTTAACTGAATCTGAAGAAAATGGAAAGGCTTTACTAAATCTAGCTGTACTTTTTATGCAAATTGGAAATTCAGAAAATAATTCTCTTCCAGACCACATGTTAGTTTGTCTATGGGAACAAAAGGGGCAATTTAATTTAAACTGTGGCCTTCCCTCCCCCCCACCCCCCATTACACTCACCCCAGTCCTAATTAGAAAACCTTGCCTTAGCAATTCAATGGTTGTTTAATAAGTTAAGTCACCAAAAGAGTTTATAAATTGGACCTGGTTGTTCAGTCAATAGTGGGATTATATTAATTTTGAGTCACTGTGAAGGCTGTTCCAACCTAAAAGGTGATTACATCAGTATTCTGTTTTGACAACTATTTAATAAGTCCCCATGACTTCAAAGGTTATTTTAGGTTGATTTCAGGCTAAGCATATTCCCCCAGAACAGCAGGTCCCACTGGTCCCTTGCACATCTGCTTGATTAATCTTCCATTGCAACATCAGCACAGAACCAAATCAAAAGCAGACAAATGAAATTAACCTAATATTAAAATTCCACCAACCACAGAAATCTTTTACAAGTCTCCAAGAAAAGTGCGTGTGTAGTACTTACAAAATCAGAAGCCCTGCTGCATTCAGCTGACCATGTTGTTCCCCACACTTACTTATACTGCTACATCGTCTTCTGCTTAATTAGTGCTGTTAAACATTAAACAGACCTGATAAAAATTAGAGCCAACCAAAAAAAAGGAGGAAACAAAGCAAATATTGACAAAACAGGTTTGTGAGGATCATCTCTATTATTCAGCCAAAGAAGCTGACAATCTTCAGCCATTTGAAGAGTAGCTGTGACATCCTCTCTTTTGCCCCTGACCATGCAGAGGAGCTGAGTGCAAACATTGTGTAATTAGGACCCTGCTGGAAACCAGGAGGTTATGCCTGGAACCACTGGAAACAGATACCAACTCTTGGTGCCAGAAGGCAGACTGTCTGTGCTGTGATGAAGTACACATGGAGCTGACAGCCACATATCACATCAACTCGGTGCTCTTCCATCCAAAGTCTATCCAGAGCCAAATCTTATGCCTGGTCCTCAGCCTGTATATGGATGACAAACCAATTGCCTGTACCTTCTCTCTCTGACTGTAGCTGCATACCACTGAGTGGATATGTGATAGACATGTTTCCCTGATGGATTCCTACTCTGGCTGATGTGGTCCCTTCATCTCTCTCAGTACTGCGTGGATCTCAGTTACTGCCTCGGGCAGGTGGTGGGAATACAAGCAGCAAGCTGTTTACTCCCACACGTGTGCATACTGCATATGCGCACTCACTTCTCATTCTCTTTGCCCTCTCACACACTTTCAAATTGTTCAAACTAAAACAAGTACTGCTTGTTTCTATTCACTTTTTCCAATAGGAATTCAGTGCTGATGAATCAAGCTGACTGATATTTTCTGATTAACAACAAAGACCATGATTGAGTGGTGACACGAAATATGTTTCCCCATTTGTGACGACTCTTTCCTTTGTACTTGTTTACTCACGTGTAATTTTGTCATTACAAACACAGATAAACATGGAGACAGAACATAGATAAACTTTGTCTGGACACTCCCCTTCTTTCTTTTCGTCTTTATTTCATAACTCCAAAACCCCCTACCCCCCAACTCCCCTCCCCCTTCCTTTTTACTTGTTCCTTCTAATTCTGTCTATAAAGGTCACAAACACAGAGATTATGTTACTCATCAAAGCCTTCGTGACTGACAGGTCATGGTGGTCAAGGATGAACTGTGTTACAAAATGGTTATAAGCCTCTTGTTTTCTCTTTCATTTGTGATGCCTTGTAATTACTGTTTTGTTTTTAATAATGCTAAGCCAAAATTTAACAAGGCATTTCCCTAGCATTTCATTATAGCAGCAGCAAGAAGGTGCTCCAGCAGCTTGAAACTAAAATGATGAGGACACGCATGCATGCCAGGTGTACCACGCACTGCCACGAGCCATTACAATCTCACCTGTCTACTGGCCACAACTTCAACTCTAAAACTAAGTCATGAAACCACATTAACCAGCTTCACACTGATCATTTATATACTGAACTAGATCTTTCACTCTATTATTTATTTTAATAGGAATAAAAGTACAGAATACTGAAATAACCTAACAAATGGGTTTTATTCCTTCTGATAATTAAAACCATGACAAAGTCTACATTGCCCAAGTCCATGTTACTGCTGCGCAGTTCATGTAGGTCAGTTTTAATACCACACACCAACTCATATTGTGACATCTTTAGAAGAAATAGACCCATACAATAGTTCATGCATTTGCTAACATCCTGCAAACATCTTCCTATTGGTTTTGTTTTGAATAGACCATTCTGAAACAGGTTTAAAGAGTTCTTAATTAACCAATAACTGCTATATTCAATGGCAACAGAACGACTCAGTTTGTCCAGTATTCGAAGGAAATTAGAGATTTTGTGTCAATTTAGCAACAGTAATAGCTGTTCTGAGATTACAGCTCACAGACACACAGGTTATTGCAAATATAAAAAAATCTTTATCCCTACATACCTAT